AACAAAATCGGTGTATCTACAAAAATCGTTAAACCAACCGTACAAAATGGCAATTACAATACCGATTTTATGTTTATTACTAACAAAAACTGTCATCCTAACTTAGCATGCGGATTCACGCGACATACAATAAATTTTCTATTTTGTCTCATATACCAGGATTCAAACGGTTACGTAAGTACCACAAAGCTTCAACACATACATACAGCTATTTCCAAAGCATAAAGTATTTTCCATTAAACTGTTGCAGTGGAGTTTGTAACTGTTTGGCATTTATCAAACTTGTTTAGGGTATGCAGGCAATCTGACTGAAGTAATGTCTGGCTGTCAGAAATATAGTAATTGATGTTTCCACTAAATAATAAACGTGTGATAGAAGATAAAAATGAAATAGATAAATAAAGCCCAGTTGGAGAAAATACTAAAATCTATTTTCGCTTCAGGCTAAGGCAAAATTGCAGTTTGTAGTCATATATTATTCGATTACAAGATTATCCTGAAGCATAGCATTAACTCAAACTATTGCTTCGTCCTTCACTGCAAACTTCAATATAACAAATTAGGTTCGTAGCTATTCTTAGCTGCCTGTAAAAAGTGTTCGAGCCTTCTGTTCGAGCCATGAAGACTCGGTAGCTTCGACTCGAAGCTCGAGTTTCAGCCTCAAAGCTCATTTGTTCATCATGACACTACTGTTAATTCCTTTCCATAAATCATCATAACTTTACTACCTTTTAACTACAGGTTTGGACGCATTAATTTCGGAATTACTACACTTATAAACCTTTCTCTTAAATTACTGTATTAAGAGAATCCCATCAAAATTTATTCCATGATTTTAAAGATACAGACACACAGACGGTGGAAAGCAATTCTGTTTTATACTATGTAGTGATTTACTCCACATTTACTATCGAAACAATTTCCCAACAAATTATTCAAATTATTAGTAAGTTTCAACATTAACTGTCAAAATTAAATGGTTGCCGACTATTTCCGACTTATAAAATATTAAAGCAGTAATAACAAGTTGCGTTTCAATTACTCTTGACACCGGACCAGTTATTTTTTATAAGCACCCATTTTTTTAATAGGAGCCAGCACGAAACCTATTAACTGGCTTAAAATATAGTTCGTAGAAAAGTGGTACTTTGTGATATTATCTTTGGGAACTTTTAACCCTTGAAACAAGTGTAGTTGATTGACTTCTTGTCCTTGGCAATGGTGTAGTTGATAGTGAGACTTCAACATGTTAAGTAAAATGGAGAAAAAGGGTCAGTAAGTGTGTTATAATTAATTTTATTACTAGTATTAACATTTTAAAATGTATTTGGTAGATTTCTAAATTGACTTTCTGCAGATTCTGTCTTAGTAATTTTTAACAGGTTATTTTTTGGGATTGTTTAAGTCAGTGAATACATATTTCGAATACGCTTTATCTACTGCAAAGTTGTCATCTCTTAATAATGGTCACCGTGACCGAATATAGCACCAAGTAACTACTTTTAACAACTACCAAATTAATCGAAGTGGGAAATTCTGATAACGTTACATTTAGGCGGAACGTAATACCGATAGCAACCAAGGTAGTTAATAACGAAATATAATGTCAGTTTATTATTATTTTCTAGGTAACTCCACAGCTAACAAACCTAAAAGCGAAGTAGCCTTTATTTTTAGCATTAATATTAATAGGTAAGAAATTGTTTTTATAATAACTATCGTGAGACATACTAAATTAACTAAAAATCGCGGGTTACTCAAGTGAATATACTGAGAAAAGCTACTAGGCTGCGCGAGATCGCCGCGACCGCGCACGCTCCTCATGAGGAAGAACCCCTCTGTGGTTCGAAACTAGTAGAGCTTTTCTCAGTATATTCACGTGAGTAACCCGCGATTTTTAGTTAAGCTAAGAAATTATTCACCTGCAAGTGGAAAACGTATCTACAACTTTTTTAAACACAATCCTTTGGTGTTGCGGGTGTATATAGTAGACGCTGTGTATTTGCTCATTTACTCTTTATGTCATAAAAATGTTGAATTCACACTTTGAATGTGTAATTATGTTTTAAAGACTATATTATCGTAACTACGCAACATAGCAATTTTTAATGAAGCTTCCAACGTATCCGCGATTACGCGCGAGGTGGTGACACTATCTACAGTGTGCTGTATATTCCCCATTAATTACACTCGATTGTTAAATGTAATATATAAAACGCGAGTTGTATATCCAAGATAAATCGACGTTATCAAACCAGCTTTTAACATGAAGCCGTACAAATTATTATTTTTAGGCGTCGTTATGTCGTAATTCCAATGTGATATACAAAATAAAAACAAAAAGCGAACGATAAAAGCTTCTTTTGTTACAAAGAAATTCCTCTAAGTCTTTTAAGGTACATCTCACATCACAATATAGGTAAGAGACGCCCTAGTTTACGCGCTGTAAAATTCACAATTTGCATACAATACTAAAATTCCCTTGACGTATTTTATATTGTTATTTTATATGCTTTTTACTGGCTGACTTGACCGTTTATTGTTAAACTGCCGGAATGGGGGACTATGATGTGAAGTCATGGGGAAAAAGTAGGTGTACAAAAGAGTTTCAGTCAAAAGACAACCAGTTCCTAGGAAACCCTCACAGTAATACTACGTCTCTAGTTAAGCCGGTGAGTGCTCTTAACTTTAGATTAAAGTGAAATTAACTAATCTTTTTAACTGGATGTTCTCTTGGTTATCTTAACTTACTCTGAAAATATTTAACTAACTAGATGAAGTGTTCTTAGGGATTATGTAAGAAAGATCTCTACAATTTCACACAGATTATTTTATCTAGCGTTTAGTATTGCTTTAAATAGTTTATGAAGTGCACAGCGTGTTACCCTTTTAAGTAAAATGGAGTCTTGCGCGATATTTACACAATGCTACTTGAAAATTTATGCAATGATTAATGCAATAAAATAATAGTACCCTTCTATAAAGACAACTAAGAGCTAAAGTCATTTATTTTTTTAACTAGGATGCAATTTCGTTTCAGTTTTTGAGCTAATTTTAAAAAAGGCATTAGCTTTCCTTAAAAGACAGCCTAAATGCCATCTCTGTGACGTCGTGTATCAGTTGCAGCTGTCATTTGAAACCAGTTTACTCTTCCATTGAACACACAATTTCATATTCAACGCTGAGAACTGAAATCAATACCTAAGCATTTGTAATTTTCATCTTATAAAAAACAATTATTTTCAGTAGAACGCCATGATAAAACCAATGTGTCTTCTTCCACTCTTATATATGATGACACTGGTGTACGCTACTGCTCCATGCAAACTGAGAGTCTACTTGGCAAGGGCTGAACAGACTGATGAGCACGGCCGCAAATGTTGGGATACTGTGAAGGTGCCTGCTTGTGGAGGAAGATGTGATTCTAGAGAGGTGAGTGCCTCAGTTTTATTGATAGTACATACAT